ACACACACGGTTTTGACACAGCATGAGATTAAATATTACTCTTTACTGGGTCACTTTAGAACATATTTTTGAACTGGTACCTTAAAGAACTACTCTGGGTAAATGTATTAGAGGAGAACTATGGGGGTTAGGGCTTTTCCCCATAGTTCTCCTAAGGGTCACGTGAGGACACAAACTAGCGTCCTCCCGTCACACTAAGCTCAGTATACCGCGAGCTGTAGCCGGGACGGATCCCGACCTTACTGTCGATCCACCCAGCTGTGGGATTGACAGCTAGCCCTGCCTATCTAGAGGCAGAGCCAGCTGTGCCCGCCCCCTTCCGTTCCACCAGTCAGCGCTGGAGGATCGGACAGGGGAGGGGGGAATCCTTGCAGGGAGCAGTGAGTGAGTCACTGCACTCTGCAGGGATAGATCGAGAATTGACCGAGCGACGCTATGGTCGCTCACTTCCCGATCTATTGAGCCGACGTGTGACAGTTTCATTGTCGCACATCAGCTCGAACTATGAGGCTGAGTGATTTTCACTCACCTCATAGTTCTCCTTTAATCCCTGCAGCTCGGCTACCCCCCACACTGCAAGGGATAAGTGCCTGTATGACTTGCCTGATCCTCTGAGCCAGCCTGCTGTGACAGTGCTTTTTCCGGCTTGTCCTCTTTTCTGTGGCATTGGTATGTTCCTGTATAGGATGTGATAATTTAGGGCCTTTAGACCAATTCAGCAGATGGGTAAAGCCTGCAGGGAGCAGCCTAGGGGCAGACCAGCTTGGAGGATCTGGTGAGGTAAAACAAAAAAAGTTTTGGCAAAAACTAGCGCTTAACCCTTGTGGGGGGGGGGGGGGGATGTTAGCCCCACTGCAATGGTTAATAAACATTTTAGAAGCGTAACTCTCTGGTTAAAAATGTTATATTAGATTTGTGAGCTACACACCCGCTATGCTTTACAGGAACTCCTGCAGCCTACTGGGGTATTGTGGTTTTGTGTACATCTGGCTGTTTTAATAAACTCCTTCACATAAGAGGGTGTATGACTTTGTACACATTAATTTTAGTTCTGAATCTAATTGGTGCCAAAAATAGATCTAGACTGAACTGTGCAGCGTCCTGCATCTAGGACTGCAGGAGATCGGATATACATATCTAGAACATGAGCGGAGATGAGCCTTACCCGTGTGTGTTACTGCCACAGAAATCTGTTTACAGTTTAAGCCTTCTATTCTAAAATAACATCCTTGGCTCCTAAAATGGCTTGCTGGCATGATTGTTTACATTGCTGCATAGTATTTGAGGCTGAATAATGACCGGTCCAAACTTCAACCTTTGTACCAAACCTCTGTTTTGCTGATGAACATCTCAAATATAGGCTGGCGGGTGGAGAGAAATGCCCATCCTTGGGCAACCAGTCCCTAGCTTCTCCCTTACAGCAGTAGACACAAACAGCATTTCGGCGGTGTTCAGGAGGGGGAGTGACGATCGGGCTGCTTATAAGTGTTCTTGAGCGGCTGTACAAAACGGCTCCCTCAACATTGATCCCCGCTGCTTGCCTGAAGTAGGGCTAAATGTAGAAGGAAAACTGCAGCCGAGTGATAGGGGTGAATTCCACACCCCTGCAATGTCCTCCTGTGACTTAAAACTTGCCATATTTGCTGACAGCGCAGGGCCACATTGCAGCCAGGAAACAATATTTTTAGGACCTTGCCTAACACCTGATGGGCAGAGCACAATTTGTCAGGCCCCCTGCAATAGTCAGCCGGGTATTGGCCATTTCAAATTGTAATGGCAGGCTGCCTATTGCACCCACCCACTGCTTCCTGTGCCCTCCTAGCGTGGAGGAGAGAGCTATGGGAACCAACTAATCGATTAGTTGGTTGCAGCCCTAGCGGTATGTGATCGCTTAGTTCTCAATCTATAGAGCCAGCATGTGACAGCTTCCGTATCACAGGTCGACTCTAATTATGGGACTATATGAGGCGCATTTCACACTCCCCATAATTCTCCTAGTATAGAATTTGGGAGCCAGCAGAATTTTTTTATATTTAGAAGCTAGCTTCGTTGGCCAGATAGAACCTGAAGAATTGGTGCCAGTTCTAAATTATTTTTTTTTACACATTGGCTACCTGGCTCCTTTTTAGTTGTCCAGTCCTGATTTAGTGTACCTGTAGCGTAACGAATGATTGGAACGCCTGTTGAGCTTTTACTGCTTTTGGTGAACCAGCTCAGTATGAACACTACCGTAGCCAATACAGGATCCAAAATCGCAGCTGGCATCAGATGATTGGGGGGGGGGGGGGTTTATGCCAACAAATACCGGGGATTCTGGTGGCAACAGGGGAAGGAAATGATAATTAGGTGCATCCCTACTATACCAGGTGGTAAGCAAACTCCTGCCCTCCAACTGTGGTGCAACTACAAACCCCATTAGGCATTGCAAGACTGACAACCACAGGCATGACTTGCACTTGCAGAGACATGATGGGGGTTATGTGGTTTGCCTATCCCTGTTCGAATGAGCCTCTTTAATGTACCTTTTTATAGGTGTTTGGTACAAGGAGGAGAAATGAAAATCATTATTGTGCAAGGTCTCCCATCTCTGCATTCTACCTTCTGACATCTCTACAGCTTATGACTGATGCTAATAGATGGTTTGCTCACTCTAGCTACTATCCACCCTTCATAAGTGCTTGTCAGCAAATTTCAGAGTGCTTCCTAATGCTACCACTACAGGAGTGTACAATCCTAAACCAGTTCTGCTGTGTAGAAGTGACAGCAGGTTTAACAAACACGCTCACACCCTTTGATGGCCAATGTTGGTGTCCTCAATGGCTCAAAGTAGCTGTAAAGCCTTTTAGCAATCTCCATTTGTAGTAATTCAACATGATCTATAAATGCCCTCGACTCTATCCTTTCGCCTTGGTTCCAGTCATTCTAATGCATTGTATCTGGCTCTCTGAAAACTATGTAGACTTGGAACTTTCTCATGACTGGTGTCCATGATTCAGCAAAGTTGGCTTCAACAATCCTGCTGGTGCTTTATAGATTGATTTCTTTGTGTTCTGGTATATTGTAGGGTTGTTGGTCTGTAAGGGATTCTTCTGTCCACCAGTCCTTTGTTCTTGGTAGTACCATATGCTCTTTGAGGTTCCTGTACTTGGAAACAGGGAGTTTCTATGACATTTAAATGGGACTTCTGACTGGTTTAGGACAGCGGGCAGTTGAAATGTGGTGCTTGAGTCGGCTTGCTGTGGACATGTTTTGCATGTACCTCCACCCCAGGCACTCTCCATAGGACGAAGACGCAGGTTCCCTATTGACCTTTCGGTTTAAATCTGATAAATACATTCTCGGTGCATCAAAACTAAAGGTATTTTTTTTTTCTTTGCAAGCAGCCACATAATGGTTGGAAAAGTCAGTCCTCTGCCAGCATGCTGTAGTGAAGGACCCTTGCTCTGTGTGTGTGCAGTAGTCACTCTGGAGAGCTTCAGTAAGGGGAGGTGGGTGTCGGACCTCTGCAATTATCAGGGAGAATGATATTTGCAATAGAAGGTCTGTAGAGAGACCACTGTTTCCACACACAGCCAGGGGAAGGGCTTTGTTACCTTGAACCTGCAGTATGATTTTTTATTTTTGCCTTGTTTGCTTTTGCTATTTTAGGGATCTACATTTGTAATTAACCTGCTGCTAATCTTTGTTTTTCTAGCCAACCACATTGGAACCGAAACATAAAGGGAAATCAACATGGGGGACGAAAGCGAATGGCTGAAGCTTCCTGTTGACCAGAAGTGTGAGCACAAGGTACATGGTGACTGGCACTGAATAAATGTGTTTTGTGCATGTAGGTTTTTTTTTTCTCTCGATGATCCTACCAACAGGCAAGCTTAAAGGACAACTTCACTTGAACCCGGGATGTTCTGTAAAAGATCCACAAATGCTCCCACTTTCAGTGTTTCTACCATTTGTGAAATGCCTTCAGCCTATTTCCATAGTTCTCCACAGTGTTCCCCTACCTGGTGCTGAACAACCTTTGCTTATGTGTTTACTGCACATGTGCGCACCACTCATCCCATCCATTTTATGGATGGCTGTGTCCGCCAACAGTATAGCCGCCCAGAAATGAAAGGGGTGAACTGGCTATTTACAAGTTGTAATTACGGAGAGGGGTGAAGAGGGTCTTTTACAGGCCAACTTACAAAGCAAGTCCTAGTATACTTTCTAAACTGCTGCATGAGTTGTCTGCACAGCTAGTCCTTTTTGTGTGAGCTGTACATCTAGTGGTTTGCCTGGAGTTCTATTTTAAACAATGGTGACTGGAGACTAAAATGATCAGTTTTATTAGAAAATTACAAAATGGTTACTATAGTAGAAACAAATGTTATTGGTTTAGCAAAATTTGTATATCTGCTCATTTGTTTTTTTTTTTTTTCTCCTTGCCAGTTATGGAAAGCCAGGTTAAGTGGATATGAGGAAGCTATAAAACTGTTCCAGAAAATCGTAGATGAGAAGAGTCCAGAATGGTCCAAATACCTGGGATTGATCAAGAAGTTTGTCACAGACTCCAATGCTATTGCCCAGTTAAAAGGCCTAGAAGCTGCTTTGGTGTATGTCGAAAATGCCCATGTTGCTGGGAAGTAAGTGTTAGATTTATCTGATGTGAACACCTTCCACCTGCACCCACTCTTCCCATTCCTCTGGCATTTGATGCTATAGTATATTTGTTATAGCATTGGCCAGTTCCGACCATTTATAAAGCAGGACCTCCGCAAGTGTTTTAAAATGTGCTGGGTAACAAATAATTCAACTCTTATGAGGGGTTTGCCACCTCCTGGAATTGTTCCTGTTTCTTTACAGCTGCATTCATGCCGGATGGTATAACACTCGTCATTCTTCCAGCTAGCTGCGGTTCTCTTGGACCGAAGCCGTGCTCTCCGCTCTCCTCTTGCCCATTCATAGAATGCCTTGTTTTTTTATCAATAGTTCACAAAATACAAAGCATTCTGTGTGTGGTCGAGAGTTGGGGTGCATAAAAGGCAGTATGGCCTCTGTGTATGAATCACAACTCGTCCACAGCAGAGGGCTACACTACCTAGTATCAATTAAACTGTAAACAGAGGGGGGCAGCAATCCTGGTGGCGGCATATGCCTCATGAGCATTAACTATTTGTTACACAGCACAATTTAAAAAATTGCGTTGAGTTCTGCTTGATTTTTGGCATGTGCCCTAGAGGGCACGAGCAAAGATTGGGGGTAAATTTGGGTAATGCCTGGAGATCATAAGAATTAAGAATATTTTAATAGTGAACACTATCATCCCTCCTCTGTCAGTTAAAACGCACTAAAACATTGGTTTCTATACTTCCAGGACTGCGGGGGAAGTAGTGTCAGGCGTAGTAAACAAAGTGTTCAATCAGCCAAAAGCTAGAGCCAAGGAGCTCGGGTCTGATATCTGCCTAATGTATGTAGAGATCGAGAAAGGTGAAGCTGTACAGGAAGAGCTGCTCAAAGGTCTAGACAACAAGAACCCAAAGATTGTGGTGGCCTGTGTTGAAACAATAAGAAGAGGACTAAGGTGAGAGTGCTTTCTGTTGTGTTTTAGAAACAAACAAAAAAATTGTGCCCTTCCTTACAAACGTTTTTTTGTTTTATTTTATGTAGTGAGTTTGGTTTAAAAATAATGTCCCTAAAGCCAATTATTAAAGTATTGCCAAAACTGTTTGAGTCTCGAGAGAAGGCTGTTCGAGATGAAGCCAAATTGCTGTCTGTGGAGATTTACCGCTGGATCAGAGATGCCCTGAGGCCTCCTCTACAGAACATTAACCCGGTGCAGGTGAGCAAAGCCTGGTGTATGGAGGATTGCAAATTTGGTCCAGTTCATTTTACATGCTGAAACCTTTTAAGATTGGTCGAAGATGAGATTTGCTGTCTTATCTCCGTAGCTTAAAGATTTGGAGGAGGAGTGGGTGAAGATAGCCCAGTCGGCTCCCAAGCAGACCCGTTTCCTGCGCTCACAGCAAGACCTCAAGGCCAAGTTTGAGCAGCAGCAAGCGGCCGGAGATGATGGAGGTGTGTGTGTGTTATTGCTGCAATTCTTAAAGTGCATCTAAAGCTAAAACTTCTTGCTTTGGTTTTTTATATCTTTATTTGAATTTTGGGTAAAGAGTGCTGTCTGTGTCCCTTTTTTAGATGAACCCTTTAATGAGAAATCTTCCAATAAGGACACTTTTTTTGCTGTTACAAAATCTGCTCTCTCTACATAAAAGGAAGTGATGGGAAGTCTCCCCAATGGGGAAAACTGATAGCAAATTAGTTTTACACATTCCCTATGCTATACAATGGTTAAAAAAAACCAAAAACTTATGCATAATAATAAAAAAAAAAGAAAAAAAAACTTCCATGTAAAGCTTAACTTTTAATTTTCATACTTCCCAATGTTGTGGGTTTTTTTATTGTGATGCTCTAAAAGGGGAATTTACAAAGACTGCAGCAGATAAAATGTGAAGCAGCTGTGCTTGGCACCCAATTGGCTTCTGGCTTTTATTTTCAAAGCTTATCAGAAGAAGTTGGTTACTATGCACTTCTGCTGCAGATTGTTTGCTCCATTTTTAGTCACTTTCCCCCTAAGTGTTTACCTGCAGATCCTTTTAAAATGGTGGTGCTGCTGCGGTCATCGTCTTTCCTGTGTTGGGCCAAAGACGCCACAATACTGCTGCTTAATGAGCAGCTTTGTCAGCCCTATTCTCTGTCTCTACATTTGGTTAGGCAGAGCCGTCATAACGTTGCTGTTTCCATTTATACAGCGGAGTCACTTACTGCTCCTCTGTTCCCAGCTAACTCAGTCTGTCACAGGAGAGCCATAATATGAGACCATTAATAGACCAGCCCATTAACCCAACAGGGAGAAGAGCGAGGAAGGTATCGCCAGTCACGTGACTTTCGCTAATACATTACAATACAGTGGTTTTAAAGCATTTTAAAAGACTACATGTACGCTAAGATCTAAAATGTAAGAATAATCCCTTAGTACATTGGTTGTTGCAGACCTGTCTCCTAATTTTAAGTGTGTCTTTGACCCATGGTTTCTTTAACTTTTCAGATGATGATGGTGATGAGGAAGCTGTACCTCAGGTGGATGCCTACGAGCTCCTCGAAGCTGTTGAGGTTCTCTCCAAACTGCCGAAGGATTTTTATGATAAAATAGTGAGTGACCATTTATATTATCCTGCCTTTTGACTAAACACAAGCCAGGTATACAGCATGACATCCTTTAAAGGAGGACTGTACTTCAATTATACTTGTCTCTAGTCTGCTTCAGGTGTAGATGTACTTTTATGAGTTTTAGGTGTCCGAGCACTCGTATCTAAATGGACATAATTTGAAAGCTCTGGATTTCAGTTGTCCACCTCTTTGGGACTTTAAGCTTCAATCTATGAAACGCCCAGATGTGAATCCGAGCTTACACTGACCTCTTTCCTTGTAACTTCACCTAGGAGGCCAAAAAGTGGCAGGAGAGAAAGGAGGTTTTGGAAGCTGTGGAGACCCTTGTCAAAAACCCCAAACTGGAGGCAGGTGATTATGGAGACCTTGTAAGAGCTTTGAAGAAGGTAAGATCACCTCTGCAAGAAATGATTAGTGATTGACCTTCCAAAAAAAATGTTGTGATTTCTTAACATTTTTCTGGCGGTCTTTTAATCTTAAAGGTTGTTGGAAAAGATGCAAATGTCATGCTTGTAGCACTGGCTGCCAAATGTCTAGCAGGGCTGGCCACCGGCCTGAGGAAGAAGTTTGGCTCATACGCTGGACAGGTAAGTTGTGATTGTACTAGCTAACAAAGCACTGATCACCTGGAACATATAAGACTTTCACAGTATTGGGTGGTCTCAGATTTTAAGAATTCAAGTATGTACTGCGGTCATATATTTTTTGCTAACTTTATTACTTGATGCATCTTGCAGGCTGTGCCAACTCTTTTGGAGAAATTCAAGGAGAAAAAACCTCAGGTAGTCCAAGCCCTGCAGGAGGCCATAGATGCCATTTTCCTCACAGTGAGTGTCCATGAAGCATTGCACTATAAGCTGATCAGTCGTAAAATTGTGCACATTGGTGTCACACTCCTGTATTGTTTCAGACCACTCTGCAGAATCTCAGTGAAGATATCTTGGCTGTTATGGATAACAAGAACCCAGCAATAAAGCAGCAAACCTCCTTGTTCCTTGCAAGGAGTTTCCGTCATTGCACTCCATCTACACTACCCAAGAGCCTGCTGAAGCCTTTCTGTGCTGCTCTCCTCAAGGTATATACACCTTTTGTAGATAGATGTAAATAATATGCCGCGCTCACTGTGATTCTCATCTACAACACTAAAGGTTAATACATGCTGTATATCATAAAGTGCAACAAACCTATAGTGCTTGATAATGAAAGTAATCCACTTTAAAATTCACAACTATACACAATTCAGTGCAAAATACATGTAAAAAGTCCACTTGTGATAAATAGTGCAATAAAAGATGGGATGTTTACCCAAGTCTTAAATGAATATGAATAACAAGTAATTAGACAGTTCCTCTGTGTGACTTCCGCTCCCAATAGAATAACTTTCGCCTCCTAGGTGTGACTAAGTTCGCTCACCTGGTAGATTACAATCATGTTTACTTTACTCATTTGTATTGAGATTGTAGTCCATCACAGGGGTGAGCTTGGAGGGGTGACTACTTTACCCCACACACAGGGTCAATGGGGAACAAAAGTAACCACCCTCCAGAAAAAAGGACAGTGTTGGCACCAATTCAGAGATGATTTGAGGATCTACAAATCACTTACATTGTTAAATGAGAACTATGAGTTGAGTGAATTAGTCATCCCATAGTTGGAGCCAATGTGTGATGCTGAAACTGTCACAAGGTGGCTCTATTGATCGATCCTCTCCCTGAAAGAGAGCGGTGACTGTCATGCATGCACAGCACTATCAGCGGGGATGGATCTCGACAATGCTGCGGTGCTCTCGGCATATTGGGCTATATACAGAGTTTTGGGTCACAGGAGGATGTTGCTATATGTCCTCCCATGACAATAAGAACTATGGAGTGTAAAAAAAAAAGTTGCCCCATAGTTCTTTTAAGGTACGTTTAATTCTCGATTAAGTGTTGCTTTAAATATGAAAGGGGGTTTCAAGCTAATCTAATGCACTTCTGATATCAAAGTGCTAGAGCTAGTACTTGTTCAGGCATGGTTAACCCTATCATCCTAGAGTGGTTGCCAACCGTAGAGCTTATCTAGGAAGTGTGTTGCTTTTAGTTCTGCGATTTCTCCTAAAATGATTCGATCTGGCTGTTTGCATTTCATCCAGTTCCTAATAATCTGCTTCCATTTGTTGACTGTCTCCTGCTTTTGCCTCAACAGCAAATCAATGACTCTGCTCCTGAAGTGAGAGATGCAGCTTTTGAGGCTCTGGGCACAGCACAGAAAGTTGTTGGTGAGAAAGCAGTTAATCCTTTTCTTGCGGATGTGGACAAGCTAAAGCTTGACAGGGTATGCCTGAGCTGCTGCCTATCTACCTGCTATATATGGAGGACCATGTCTACTTAATGGCAGTAAACTTCATCTGCGTGTTGCTTCTTTACAGATCAAAGAGAGTGCTGATAAAGTGGAACTAGCCTATGGTAAAAAGGGCGGTGCCGCTTCTGGCGAGAAAAAGGAAACAAAGCCATCTGCTCCCGGTAAGGCTGCTGTAACTGCAGCTCCTGAGAAAGACTCAAAGGATGCTGCCAGACCTGGCATGGCTCCCAAGAAGCCACCTGCGGCCAAGGTATGTTTAGTCTACAGTCCCTACAGTGAAGTTAGTCACTTTGTGACTTCCCCATGCTACCGTGTATGATTTTTTATTTTTTTTTATTTTACCTTTTTCTTGTACCTTCTCATTAAAAGCCTGGAGGACCTGTCAAAAAGGCCAAACAGCCTGCATCTGCTGGAGGTGCTGCAAAGGGCAAGAAAGGAGCTGACGTCAAAGAGGTTTTTGAGCAGGAGCTCTCGGTATGTGTATCTGGAAGTCTTCACCCAGCATTTTTTTTTAAATATAAATAAACGTCTGATTTTTATTATGGAAAGTATGTTCTCTTGTAGAGCGCTTGAGATTCCATTTCTTTTTTTTCCCCTTAAAGGCAGGGCAGAGCCACTTTGTTCCCTCTATACTAGCTATAGGGTTCTTTCCCAGCTGCAGTGTTGTATTGAATCCAGAGATGGAAAGGCCCCCACTGCTTTGGTGGGTTTTGTTTTTTAACCTGGAGCTTTTCCTCGGGTGAATGCCTTTCTCTATCTTAGGTCTCCTGTCCCCCTTACTGGAAGAGTGGACTGGAGGGGTTGGCACTATGGCTTGCATGTGTGGTCGTAGCCCTCTCCCCATTTTGCAGGTTGTTCATTATTACTGCATGTTTTCCACTGTTATGAGTTACTGTTTCAGCATTTTTTTTTTTTTTTTCTTCAGGCAGCTTCAGTCATTTGGGATCTGGGAACTTGGCTCAGAGCTCTCTCATAAATACCCAATTATGTTCTTGGCTGCAGGCTAGAAGTGTGTCTCAGATGAATGTGAAATTTTTTTAAAATCCTTTTCCAGAGCTATAATGAAGCTCTGCGCACAAGCAGCTTATTCAGCCTTTTAAACCTACTGGCTGAGTGGAGCTGGTGCCCCTGAAAGTTGTCTAAGGTCAGGCAGTCATAATGGAAGCTTCCTCCTTTTTGGCTTCTTTTACATATTTCCTCAGGCTGGACTAGAAAGGGAGGGAAGTGTGGAGATGCTGTGATGTGTCATATCTGCAGAAGTCAAAATGGATTTAGAGATGTTGGGTTTTTAGGCGGTAGGGGGGTGATATTTGCCCAGTTCTTAGAGTTCTCATCGCTCTTACAGCCCGAGGCCTGTGAAGAAAAAGCAGCTGCAGTTCTTCCTGCTTCATGCATGCAGCAGCTGGATAGCAGTAATTGGAAGGAAAGGCTTGCAAGCATGGAAGAATTCCAGAAGGTAAAAAAAAAAAAAAGTTTAAGAATATTCATGCTTTTGTATGAGCGCTATGATCTAAGGATTAAACACTGACTTTCTGTAGGCTGTGGAATCGATGGAAAAAAATGATATTCCATGCCAAGCTTTGGTCAAGATGCTGGCAAAGAAACCTGGATTTAAAGAAACCAACTTCCAGGTATGTACTCTCCCATCCCATTAATCAATCTGTTCGGGTTTTGGGAATCCAGACAAGCTTCTATTCTCCACTAATTAGGAAGAACAATGTTTCACGTTTTTAAAGTCTAATGTATAAAATGGCTTTGGTTTTAAAAATCCTCCGCATTTAGCACATAACGTTTTACGGATTCCTTTTATTGCCACTTCTGGACCCATGTGCATATGTGACTAAAAAAAACTCTAGAAGTCTGGTCATGAGCAATGGCAACCATTTTGGTGTGTGGTGTTTTTTTTTTTGGACGTGTTACTGCTTATAGAGAGCTTGATTTCTCCCCCCCCCCTCAACTCCCCTGCTGCCTTTTTGGCCTGTCACTGGCTACAATAATTTAGCTAATTTGTTGAGCTATATAGTACCACGCTCCTGAACTAGGGAGGCTTGGTCGATCAATATTTAAATACCTTGACGGCACTGGAGCAAAGCTGTGTCGTCTTCCTATTGCGAACATGTTCTGGAGCCCCTTTAATTCCTGTGTGAGGGCCACCATTCTGGCTGGCAGCCTCTAGCATAGGTACAGCTCATCAATCTGAATGGATGTGACACATTTGGAATGGTTTTTCTTGCAAAGACTGTTTAGGAAAAGGCTTCAGCTATTCTGCTTAGTATAAAATATAATCTGGTGGGAAGAAATATTTTTAAGGGTGTCTGATAAGTTGCAATTTGCAACCCACCCCAACTTCAAGAAAGTGTTGAGGGTGGGATATTTCTAGACAATTAATTTTGCTCCTCCATAACAATTGTTTTGTTTTTTTCGGGCAGCATTTCTAATTGGTTTCATACAGAAGCATTTCTCTTTATCTCTAGGTCATGCAGATGAAGCTACACATCGTGGCTTTGATTGCCCGGAAAGGCAATTTCTCCAAAACCTCTGCCAATGTGGTCTTTGATGGCCTAGTAGACAAAGTGGGAGATGTGAAATGTGGCGGTAATGCCAAAGAAGCTCTTAGTGCTATTGCAGAGGCCTGCGCCCTGCCTTGGACTGCTGAGCAGGTAAGATCTCCGTTAGCCACCTTTTTGTTAGAAGTGAATCAACTTCAGTGTCTGAAAGAGAAACTATTGCCCCCCCCAATCTTCTGTACTTTATCGGAGAATGAGTGGAAGGATTTGATTGCCCAGGTATACAAGAGCCGTTGTTCTGAGGCCTTAAAGCAACACTGTTGCCATTTATTATAAAATATGAATTTTTATATCTTATAATTTTGCAGCCACTTACTCTTCACTCTATTCAAGAGCTACAGCCTCCACAGCAGAATCTTTTATCCACCTTGCAATGTTCCAGCTGTTGGTCAATACAGGACACAGCAATGTAGGGGCCAGCAGATGGAACCACTGCCCATGATGGGAGATGGAACACAGAGCCTTATCAAATCTAGAGCAGTAATGCATGGCAGCCAATCAGCTTCTCTCCAGTTTGGTCAGTTAAGATTTAAAAAAAGAGAGAAGCTGATTGGTTGCCATGCACAGCTGCCCTAGATTTTGTCTGCTCCAGTTTCCATAAATTCCCCTCATATTTAGATGTGAAGATTCTGCTGTAGAGGTCATAGTTTTTGGACAGAGCCTAGATCAATGAATAATTAGAAGCACAGGTATCAATGCTATTCTTTTGGCTGTGAGGCATTTTTTATTTTCTCTCCCAACTACAGTGTCACTTTAACAATTGAGGTTGCCTGTAAAGCTGAACTGCTGCTCTTCTCTTGTAGGTTGTGTCATTGGCTTTCGTTCAGAAAAACCCCAAGAACCAATCTGAATCGCTAAACTGGCTTTCAAATGCTATTAAAGAATTTGGTTTTTATGGGTAAGTATTGGATCTGCTCAGTGATAAAGTCCCAACTTGCTATCTCATGTAGCGCAGTGCCATTTTTTTCCACTTGTTAATGAAGATTGTTTTGAAAAGTAAAAAGTGTTATTGTTGCAAAAAAATTTTTTTTGGTTTCTGTAAATGATTTTTCTGTGGCTAAAAACATCACGTGTCCCTTCTTGCAATGAGGTAACAAAGATTGCAAAGGGTCTTTTTATAATGTTGAATATGAATTCTCCCACCACCAAAGGACTCCTAGTAACGAATACAGTTTTACTTTTTCAGGCTCAATGTCAAGGCTTTTATCACCAGTGTGAAGACTGCCCTTGCTGCCACAAACCCAGTAAGTAAACTGTAAAAGAGCTCCAGTGAACTTCTTGTGTTGGAGCTGATCTCGCTAAGGCTGTGATAACATTTTACAGGCCATTAGGACATCTGCTATCACCTTGCTGGGTGTGATGTATCTGTACATGGGGGCGCCACTACGAATGTTTTTTGAAGAGGAGAAACCTGCTCTCTTAGCCCAAATTGATGCCGAATTTGAGAAGGTATGTTGCCCAGGTGTTGGGTACCCATTTTAAAATTGGACGTATCTGTCTCTAGTATATTGGTGCACCTAAATGTTAAACTTGTAGTCAGCAGAAGCACCATGGAATTGGCTATCTTTGCTTGGTTCTGGAGTTGCATTTTTAATTGTATCCACCGCATAGGTCAATATTCGGTTTTATGCACAGGTTTTGGGCTTCCCATATTTTAAAAAAAAAGTGCTTTCATTAACAGGGGACCGCAGTGGATCTTTGGGCATACGCTTTGCCTTGAAGGTCCCCTTTTTTGATAAAAATATAGAATTTTGGTTTGAATAAGTTAATGATCAATATTGTGGTGTGATAATACAAGAGTGAGTAGAAGGATTACCTTATTGGCATGCCTCTGCTTCATAACGTTTCCAATCGACATGGTTTTAAACTATTGCATTGGAAATCTATGGCTTGGCAATTCTGTAAGCAGTGGTGTTTAAATCGCAGCACTTCCAGAACATTAACACATGCTTGTACTTAAGGTATCTGCCCATACTTTGTTTTTTTTACACTATATGGTATCATTTAAAAATGGTAGATGAAAGGACAGACCCCACCAGCTTCAACCAGAGGCTCATCCAAGGGAGGTGCAGGGGGAGAGGAGGGTGATGAAGCAGAGGAGCAAGAAGAGGACTCCCCTGTTAATGTCATGGATCTGCTGCCCCGGGCAGACATCAGGTAAAAGAAAGCTCTTTAAATCTGCACTTTTTCTCTGTGATCTTTAACTACCTCCCGGCCAGCCGCTGTGTATACACGGCCTGCCGGGAGCTTCTTGGATGTAACTGGGCGCGAGCGGGAAATCCCCCGCTATTTGAAAAGAGGCAGCGATGCCCGTTAATATAAAAGCGATCCGCCGGCTATAGAGCCGGCGGATCGCTTGTATGAAGCCCCGAGACGTGCGCCCCCATGACATGTTTGGTGTCTATTTACCCGACGTGACCCCGTCTTTTATATTTTACCAAAAAAGTGGGTAATATTAGTTGTTTTATAGCATAATGTAAAAAAAAACTTTTTTTCTCTCAAAATTTTCAGTAATTTCTCCTGAATATAGTAAAAAATAAAACCAGCAGTGGTGATTAAATACCACCAAAATAAATCTCTTTCTGTCCCCAAAAAATGGTATAAAATTCATTTCAGTACAGCGTTGCGTGACGGAATAAATGTCAGTCGAAGTACTGCAGCGCTGAACACTGAAAAATGGCCTGGCCAGGTTGGGGGATCTAAACACCTGGTCTTCAAGCGGTTAAAAGATGTTTAATGTACCTCTCTGCTTCTTTAGTGATAAGATCACTTCTGATCTGGTATCGAAGATTGGCGATAAAAACTGGAAAATACGCAAGGAGGGACTTGATGAAACGGCAGCCATTATTAACGAAGCCAAGTTTATCCTTCCAAATATTGGAGATCTTCCACTTGCACTGAAGGGTCGTCTCAATGATTCAAACAAGATCCTGGTATGCGTTTGACGTCTGTGTAAAATAGTTGTCCATACAAACTTCAAGAGCAATATTTGTATTGCTGTGCATCTTGATTTCTTGGTATGGTAAGCTATCCTTTTTTTGTATTTTGTTTTTGACAGGTTCTGCAGACATTGGGTATCCTTCAACAGCTGGGCACTGCCATAGGTCCAAATATTAAACAACATGTTAAGAACTTGGGCATCCCAATTATAACTGTCCTTGGGGATAGCAAGGTGAGTAACCGGTCATTTATATTGTTTTGGTGTTTGACACCCTGACCTTCATGTGTCGAGACCGTGCTGTTGCAAAAATCGTGTATGTTGCTGCTATTTAAAACCAATGTAATCTACTAAATCATTAGAAGAGATGAAGTTTTTGGTATCGGCAGAACATGTCTACTTTAAATATGGAGTTTCTGTAGTTCTCAGCGTCATGAGCCAAACCTAGCATCTGTTATTCTGCCCACTTTCTGGGTAGAAGACCCTCAGAATCTTCATTCACTCTGAAGGTTCCGGTGATGTCAACACTCCTGTGTGTTTAGCTCACCTCATGGGTCACATGGCTAATGGTAACAGGACCCACAACCATAGCTCAGCAGTATCTATCGCAAGTTCATTCTTAAGTTTAGGTGTACATAACACAAAAATTAATCCATGATCTCTGTTCTAGGCCAATATTAGAGCATCAGCTCTGGGGACTGTGAATTCTTGGGTGGAACAGACTGGTATGAAAGAATGGCTGGAAGGAGAGGACTTGTCTGAGGAGCTGAAAAAAGAGAATCCTTTCCTGAGGCAAGAGGTAGGATATTTGGAAATGCTTTTATAGTGTTGTAATGCATTAGTGTGCCATTTGTTCATTAAAATGTCTTCTCTTGGTTTTTGTAGTTGCTAGGATGGCTGGCTGAGAAACTGCCCACATTGCGTACAGTTCCTTCAGATCTTCAGTTGTGTGTTCCATATCTGTATGGCTGCCTTGAGGACCGCAATGGGGATGTACGAAAGAAAGCCCAGGAGGCCCTGCCTTTGTTCATGATGCATATAGGATTTGAAAAGATGAGCAAAACTGCTGGAAAGCTCAAGGTGGTTTTTTTTTGTTTTTTTTTTGTTTAACACCAAATATCACCAGTGAGCTTCTAGGTCACCTTTACACAACCCAGTCAGTTTTTGTTATGTATAGGTAGGGTTTAGATGCTCCTATGTTCAGCGCTCATTCATTCCATTCAAGTTATGTATTTAAGCAGCCACTGGTAACCCAATCACAGCAAGCTGGAACAGGCTGTGTTTTCACGGTTTCCTTTGCCTGAACTATGCAGCCTCATTAATCAACTTGTGTTGGACAACGCCACCAATGAGATTCACAAAGATTTGAATCCGGTTATTTTGGGCAGAAGCAGGTCTTGATACAGCGTTTGAGACCATTTTTTAATCCTGCGGTAAACACTTTCTTGTCTATTTAGGGACACAGGAAGTCCTAAACCTTGTTATACTGCCTCCTATAGAAGAATTGGATGCAGGCAAACACAATTGTAGGCCAACCAATGATCTCTCCAACCAGCAACATGCCCCTTATTTTATTTTTTTTACCCTCTAACACCTGTCCAATCGAGACTTTGCACTCTTTAATTCTTGATTTACCACAGGCTCTGTGGCTGGACTCTGGGGGAGAGAGTCATAAATTACCTTCTCTAAAAAGGGTGTCATTTGACCTTGTGCCTGAAAGTAATGCTAAAAATGATCAGATTTGAAATGGACACCATCAGCCTTGTGCATCAGGAACTGTGCCCAGTTCAGCCTGATTGAACCGTTAAAATTCTGTATTGTAGCAATGTTGTGTCCCTTTACTTTTTTGAGGGTTTATTTGTGTCCAATGTACTGTACAGTTTCTTTCGAATACAACATGCTTCCTGCTGCGTAGTCATATAAGAGGGACTTAATGTCTATTTTTTTGTAGTGCTTAACAGAGAAATTCTAGGAGACACTAGTCAGTGTTGTTGTGTTGACATATGCAGAAGGCATGCCCTGGTTACTTCAAACTGTAGACAGATGTGCTAGAAATTGCAAATTAAAATGTGCCCAGCTCCAGCATGTGATATTTTGTCATTGCAGCCAGCATCCAAGGACCAAGTTGTTGTTTTGTTAGAAAAGGCTAAAGCTAGCATGCCAGCCAAACCTGCTGCTCCTGCAGGGAAGACCAGCGCCAAACAGGCAGCTGCACCATCTTCAGCTCCTGCCCCAACCGCTGGTAAGTGTTCTTAGTACTACGGTGCCCTTGCAGTTAAAGAATCACTTTTTTGGGCTTTTGGTTTGCATGGTAAGTGCCTGTATCGGTGGGATTGGATTACCACTAACACATTTATTGCTTTATTTTTTGGCTAGCTGCTTTTGATGCCGGACCACCAGAGAGTAAACAGGATCCCAAAAAAAGCAAACCGGGTGCCCCAGCAGCTAAAGGAAAAGTATGTTATCGTGGCTTAACTGTATGAGCTTTTATGTTTTAAATCATTATGTTAACATTTACTGTTCAGTGTTTTGATATGTAAATTATTGCCAACTGTTTTGATTTGCGCACTTTTCATTCATGTATAGATGACATTATGGTATGTCGGCGTTTTCTCCTTCCATTGCAGCTCTGGCAGAGTTCTCATTTCTGTCCCAGTGATCATAGGACAAACTACTTGGAAACCTCCTGAGGTTCTAAACCTTTCTGAAGATTTGTTTTAGATTCTGTACCCATTGTAGAAATTGGCATTCTCTTCCTTACCCTGTGACACCTCGTCTCGTGCCAGGAAATATAAAGGGGGGGGCCTTGATATTGATCTGTTCTTGGCTCGTGGAAACTTGAAAAAGCTGAAGAACCCAAATCTCACAAAAATATGCTCCTGCACAGTGCTTGATATACGTTTTTCACTTAATTTGGGCTCCTCTGTACTTCAAAGATCACGCAAGAGGACCCAGTGACCCAACTATCGCCTGCAGGAAGCGGCCACCAGCGATAGAAGCTGGTTTTAGGCAATAAGTCTGCAGTAATTCTGTACCTCCTATGTTAGTGTTTTTGCATAAATGTGGAGTCCTTTCTCTGTAGACCCAGTCTGTGTCATCAGAGGGTAATACCAGCATGACACCAACGAAAGGAAACGCCAGCATGTCCAAAGCCAAGACTTCTAAACAGGCGGTAAATAAAGCAGCACGGAAGGGGTTGCTTTCTATTGCACGTGTGCGTGGCTCCTTTCTGCACCCTAGCTACATTTGCACACACTCTGTTAAGGCCTTATTGGGATGATGGAGGATGATGAGTTGCACTTATGAGTGTTGCAGTGCTGAGCACTGCACACTTTACAGAGCCAGGCTGCTGACATAACGATGTGCACAGGGGACAGCTGACTCCATATTACTCTTGGCACTTTCTTTACCTGATCTCAGTGGCTGTATTAAGCATGGCTGAGGCCTAATTCACACATTTTTTTCCCCAAAGAGGCACCACTAATGAGAAGCCTTTTACAGTGACTTGTTACTCTTTGCTGTATTGTAATGGCTTCATTGTTAATACCCCCTAGGCTGTACCTGCTAAGAAAGTGCCAAGCAAGCCGGCCGTGAAGGATGAGGAGGACAGGTCTGGACCCATTTTTATCGTTGTTCCAAATGGAAAGGAACAGAGGATAAAGGATGAGAAGGGTTTAAAGGTGAGTGAAATGGTGATGCTCTACTAATGTGCTGTGTTTTTTTGTTATAATTTTTTTTTTTATTGCATAGGGAAGGGAAGATTTTTTTTATCTTTTATAAGGAACATCTAAACAATATTAACCCATAAATGAGAACTATGGGAAAACCTTTTTATGCCATAGTTCTTTAGGGTCATTGGTAGGACATTTCCTAACATCCTCCCGTGACCCAAAGTTTCGTATATACAAAGTGCCATAGCAGAGACGGATCCTGACAGTACTGTTGAGATCCACCCAGATGACAGCGGGCTCTCTTTCTACCCCCCCGAGTTGCCCAAAGAAAAAGCATTGCGACTGCCTAGTGACTCATAGCAGTCTATCTACAGTGCAAGATCCTCTTAGGTGTTGCTGCCTCTGATTGCATGATGTTTGGAATAAGAGTTGGTGATGGCACTGCTGCTCTGTTCTGAGGGTTTGCTGGAGAGAATGCTGTACCAGAGGACTTGTAGGGCTTTAATCTCTCCTGCTTCTGGTGCATTTTCTGAGCCCCTCCACCTCTCCTGATTTTGGATCGATACCCCATCAGGAGATAAGCAGCTCTGACATGAGAAATCAAATGGAATACAGCTGGAGAACATCTTGCTCGGGAGCAGCTATGATGTTAGCCATTTGAGAGCCTAAAAGCTCGGTTGGGAGCTAACATAAGCACACTGGCAGCTGAGACAGTTAACCAGAGGCATGCTTTGAATGTACCAGTTTTGGTGAGCCATTAAATTTGTGCATTTGTGGGCTAGTTCTCGCCAACCCCAGTGTGTTCCGGCCCGATTGGTGCTGGATCGCATTCCGGCCAGCTTACATTGTTTTGGGGCGGGAGGTGGACTGGTAGTGCATTGAAGTTAATGGCACCGCAACCATGCCCTCCGGCCACCGGACGACCTCCCTTTCTGACAAACGCAGGCACTCATGTGCTACATGTTCCGGTGCGGGCGATCGCCCCGCGGCCAAAGGTTGTGGCTGTGGTGCCATTGACTTCAATGTACTGCCACGCTCCCTTCCGCCCCAAAACAAAGTGAGCCAGCTGGGATGCGTTCCTGCCAGAATCGGGCTGAAACACTCTGGGGCTGGTGTGAATTAGCCCTTAGTTCTGCTTTAAAGAGATGCAGTAGTCTCAGTGAAAGTTTAATGAGCGTGGTATTTTCAGTTTGAAGAGATGGCTCGGGGGCATCCGAATATGTTTGAATAGATTAGTTTTAATACTTTAGCAGTTTTATCCCAAGGACTGTACAGTTGCAGTCTCTGCATCCTGCACCTTGTGTGAACAAAGTGTTTTCTGGCTGTCACCAAGAGGGGAATTAAAACTAGAGCAGACAGAAAATGGACCAGTTGCCCATAGTAACCAATCTTCTTTAATTTTCAAATCTTAACTGAACACACTGAAAAGAGAAGCTGGTTATTATGGACAATTGCTCCAAATATCTGTCTGAACCAGTTTTGATAAAGTCCCCTTAAAGTTTATTTTCTTATACCTGAAGGGTTTCTTTGGAAACTCTGGTCTGCAATATGGGTTTGAGATTTGTGGTAGATTGCCCAATCTGAATGCTTAAAGGAGAAAGCTCAGTATATCGCGAGCTACAGCGGCAGTATACTGAGCCCGCCGCAGCCGGGACAGATCCCGACACTACGGTCGAGACCCACCCAGCTGTGTGAGCGATAGCGGGCTCTGCCCATCTCCGTATATTCCTCCAGTCAGTGCTGGGAGGATTGGACCGGGGAGGGGGGAAATCCTGCAGGGAGCCGTACTGACAGTCACTGCTCTCTGCAGGGCTATTGCCTGCGATATACGGAGAGAGCCGCACCCGGGACGGATCCTGGCGATACTTTCGAGATCCACCAAGCTAGTTGATGGACAGAGCCAGCTGTGCCCGCCCCCTCCCTGTCCATTTCTCCACTCAGTGCTGGAGGATCTGAGAGGGGAGTCACCACAGGGATTCCATCGGCAAGAGCGGATCGGCTGCATGTTTCTGCTCACTTCCTGATCTATAGAGCCGACCTGTAACAGCTTCTTTGTCACAGGTCGGCTCTAACTAGGAGGATGAGTGGAAATCACTCCTCATAGTTCTCCTTCTTAAAGACTTGTGTCTTTTACACTTCTAGCAGTTTTGAAAACCCACCAAATCTAGTGGGTTTAAGTTATTATTGTTTTGTTTCTATACAGTCATGGAGAATGGGCTTTTATTACAGGTCTTGAAATGGAACTTTCCTACCCCTCGGGATGAGTACATTGAACAGCTCAAAACTCAGATGTCAACGTGTTTTGCAAGATGGCTCCAAGATGAGCTGTTCCATGCAGATTTTCAACACCACATAAAAGCCATTGCTGTGATGACTGAGGTGAGCAGAGATGTTTTGGCACAGTAACAAATTACCAATAACTTGAAGAGATGATGGTTTAACTTAACCAGTTTGGAGTTATGATGGGTTTTTATTGTCATTTCAGCACTTGGAGAGTGAAAAGGAAGGGGTTTTAAGCTGTTTGGACCTCATTCTAAAATGGTTCACCTTGCGTTTCTTTGACACCAACACCAGCGTCTTGATGAAGGTCTTGGAATACCTGAAGTTACTCTTAATTATGCTTAGCCAAGAGGAGTACCACCTAACTGAGTTAGAAGCCACCTCATTCATTCCATACCTGCTGCTGAAGGTGAGTAAATGTCAGTCATTTTTCTGGTGGCTGCTTCTGGAGGATGATGAGTTGCACTAAGGGATCCGCGGTGCTGTGTAACTGCGGGGCCCTCGGAGCCAATGTGTTGACACAATCATGTGCACAGGGGCCAGCTGACTCCACAATGCTTCCACCAGAAGTTCTTGAGTAAAGAAATTGCCTTTTTATAAGCTTCAAGATTTGAAACCTAGTTAATGGTGGAAAATCTCATACCCTGTGTTTAAAACATTGCAAATTGAGCCTTTTGTCAATGCCTAAGGGGGCCCTTAAAGTAATGTCTTGTTATCTTTGTAAAGTTTTTGGTACTATGAAGTTTTAACATTTTCTGTATTTACGTGGTTAGTAGATGCTATACCTGACCTTTTGTTTCACTGGTCCTTAGGTGGGCGAGCCAAAGGATGTTGTGCGAAAGGATGTGCGTGCCATTTTGAACAAGATGTGCCAGGTGTACCCAGCTAGCAAGATGTTTAATTTTGTGATGGAAGGAATCAAATCCAAAAACTCCAAGCAGCGGTCGGGTAAGAGGAGCAAGCAATCAAAAAAATGTTGAAGGAATTAGCTATGCACCAAGTCTAATTGTTTGCCTTCTCCATAGAATGCCTAGAGGAGCTGGGCTGCTTGGTGGAATCCTACGGTATGAATGTGTGCCAGCCTACACCTGCCAAAGCTCTCAAAGAGATAGCTACCCAGATTGGGGACCGTGACACGACTGTACGCAATGCAGCGCTTAACACCATCGTAGCTGTGTATAATGTGCACGGCGAGCAAATCTTCAAGCTCATTGGAAATGTGAGTTTATCCTGCGGCCTGGTGTGTGAAGGTAGTTGTTTCTGAATGGTTAGTTGTGAATACATGTCCTTATTGATTCTTTCTTCCTGCAGCTCTCTGAGAAGGATATGAGCATGCTGGAGGAGCGAATAAAGCGTGCCGGGAAGAAGCAGACTGTGCCTGCCCCAGCTAAACAAGTGGAGGAGAAGCCTCAGCGTGCTCAGAGTGCCAATGCCAGCCTTCTGAGGAAAGCACCACCTGAAGACATGTCTTCCAAACTGAAGTATGTTCAGCTTTGGACTTGGCACTTGCCCCTAGTTTGTGATTTTTCTAGCAGTCTTCTACATGATTACATGATGTGCATTAACCCAGTTCACCCAACTTACTCATATTTCAAAATCAAACATTTTAATACTAGGACTTTGGCTGTGATGGGTAACTGCACACTTTTGCACCATCTTGTCATGTTTCCCAAAGCCTTGGTTTTGTTTGAGTTGAATCTGCATGATTTCTAAATATTCTGTTCTTCTATCACTGCTTCTCTTGGGACAGAATTATGTATCGCACTTATAGAATGTAAGTAACCTCTTCTACTTTCCTTCTCTTCCACTGCGAGTATGTGTTTCTAGTTAATATATGCACCATGAAATTGGGAGTACAGGTTGATTTTTCTGGTATCTACAGTTATTCCTGGATAGATGTCTGTCTGGTTTTTGTCTATTCTAACCAATATTGTTAAATATGAAGCAATGTGCCATTGTGCTGTTCACAAAAAGTTTATTGAATTGGACATCTTTACAGCATTCGGGTTTAAGTTGGAACATGTGGGAGAAAATCTGTTTGATATGCATTCTGCGCATTTACTAGTAGAACAGTAGCTGCTCATTTGTAAATGATACCTGAATGTGTGGTACAGTAGAGCTTAAAGGAGAACTATGAGGCGAGTGAAAATCACTCAGCCTCATACTTCTAGTCGACCCGTGACAAACTGTCACAGGTCAGCTCAATAGATCGGGAAGTGAGCGAACAGTCGCTCGCTCACTTCTCGATCTATCCATGCAGAGAGCCTTGACTGTCATTCACGGCTCCCTGCTGGTATTAAGTGCTAGTTTGTGGCCTGCCGTTAGCCTTAGGAGAACTATGGGGAAAAGCCCTGACCCCATAGTTCTCCTTTAGTACATATTGTGTGTGCTAAAAAAAAATATAGGGTCTTGTATGTCTTTAAGTTTGAATGGGCTGTTTATAATGAGATGCATGACATAACACACAAAGTACAGCGACAATGTATTTGTCAATCAGCTTTAAGGGAGAGTTCAGTTATAAGCCATTAGGAGACCTCGCCGTACAGACCATAATGTTTATCCAGTGCTAGACTGCCAGAGACTTTCTTGGTGCCCACTATAATTTTTGTGTAAGGCCTGTTACATTGACAGGCTGTAGATGACTCTCAATTGTCTCCACAGCACCTGTGAATCATATTCCCCCTTTATATGTTTTTGATAACTTATTCCTACCGTAGTAGTATACAGAGGTGGAGGCTGCCTCTGTGCTTTCACTGGTGGATATGCTATGGTACTTATGTAAGTTTTTGGAAAAGGGCTAACAGACCTGTTGAATCTGACATATGCATTCCCCCTGCTCCAATGGTTCTCTAGGCCTGTGCAAGCTATGTGGCCTAATGGGCAGTTGCCCTGCCATGGCAAGCCTGACCTTTTGGCCTCGCATTATGGGTGACTGGGGGTGGACACTCAAAGTTCAGGGAAGTGCTATTTGTGGGATGAATCTTAAGGGTCAGTGATTTTTTTTTTTTCCCCTTCATTGTTCTCTGCACTTAACTATCAGAATGTGTTTAAGCTATTTTGATGATGCTTCCTAAAAAAAATGTTTTTCTTCTTCTGTTCTACACAGCCAAGCCCGCAACATGGGAGGACACCCTGAGCCTGCACATAACGTTCCACGAGAATTTCAGTTGGATCTGGATGAAATCGAGTACGACAATGGTACTGTAAGGTGTGAGATGCCAGCGTTGGTTCAGCACAAACTGGATGAGATCTTCGATCCAGTCTTACTCCCAGAACCAAAGTGAGTTGTCTCTTCACTTATTGTTAATCTGTGTTATGGCTGTTGGTTTGACCAGACTTTTCTGCATGTTCAAGAAAAAGAATGCACTGCAAAGTATTAATAAAATGGCATTAGCTCTCAGCTGTGTCTCTGGTGTAAATTCCTGAGGTTTGACTGTTGCAGCCGTTATGCTGTGTACATACCTCGTACATTGGTCTGAAGCAGAGTATGTCACTATGCAGCTGCTTTGAATACTGTAGCTGGCAATTTCTGAAGCTAGCTTCTAATGCAGCACGAGTCATTTGCTCAGCAGTTGAGCTAAAAATCACTGCAACACTAACCTTTCATTAACTCGAGTGTCTCACCAAATTCTGTAGCTGCTACAAAATCACTTGTCTTGATCCTGTGGCTTCTCTTTTAATTAGTATGTTTGTTCACAGGATCCGGGCTGTCTCCCCACACTTTGATGACATGCACAGTAACACGGCCTCCACCATCAATTTTGTAATCTCCCAAGTTGCCAGTGGGGACATAAATACCAGTATACAGGCCTTAGCTCAGGTAAGATTGAAGTCGTCTACGTGCCATTCAGAGTAAAATGATCTGAACTGGTGGATTGAGTTTGTTGTGCTCCGTGCCTTTTTTAGATTGATGAAGTTTTGCGTCAGGAAGATAAGGCTGAGGCCATGTCTGGACACATAGACCAGTTCTTGATTGCCACCGTTATGCAACTGCGTCTGATTTACAATACCCACATGGCAGACGAGCGGCTGGATAAAGACGATATTGTACGTCTGTACAGCTGTATCATTGGCAACATGATCTCGGTAAGTGACTTTTCAGTAAGCTGGGATTTCCTAGTAAGTCTAGGTTTTATTTTTTTGAGGAGCAGATCGCATACTTAGGAATCTGACTATAAAGAGTCTGAATTTCTACCCTTCCCTGTAACTTCTCTACTTCTATTAACCCTCAGCATTAACAATTCTTAGACGACTCCTAGATATTAGAATGGAGTGCATTCTTGCTGTGACCTCCTTGTACAATTCCTCTTCAATTCACGTTGGATTATAAAGTGGGGTTTCTGTTTCTTGACTCTCCTTCCCTTCTGCATAGGTGAGCACATGTTGATTAATTGTCTGAATGTTTTCAGCTCTTTCAGATGGAAAGTTTGGCTCGGGAAGCCTCCACTGGTGTACTAAAGGATCTGATGCATGGCCTCATTACTCTCATGCTGGACTCCCGAGTGGAGGATCTTGAAGAGGGCCAGCAGGTGGTGCGCTCAGTCAACCTCCTTGTGGTGAAAGTACTGGAGAAATCGGATCAGACAAATATTCTTAGGTAAGACTTTGTGGTTTTTGGGTGAAGCTTTGTACATTTTAGGTGACTACTGCAAATTTCTGTATCTGACCTAACCTGTGTCCTCTTCTACAGTGCTCTTCTGGTGTTGCTTCAAGATAGTCTGCTTGCTACAGCCAGCTCACCTAAGTTTTCGGAGCTTGTCATGAAGGTAAGACTGTTTTCTCATTTCAGATTGAATTTTTATACAGCATTTATTAGTTAATAACCAGCAGCAACATTGCACATGTTTTTCTAATTCTAGAAGGCTTTTTTTTTTCCGGTAAGCTAATCTGCCCAATGACAGTATGTTTGAATTACATTTTAAGCCAGCATTCTTGTGTCCACAGTGACTAGGTGTGGTTTTTATTTTATTTTTTTCTCCTGCACTGTAATTGCTGTATAACATCTCTTATCGTAGGATGTTCACCTCCTATAAGACTTTAGATTATTGTGGTGTACTCAGTCCACTTTTTTCCATTTTTCTTAGTGTTTGTGGCGAATGATACGGCTTCTCCCGGAATGCATCGAGAACATTAATCTGGATCGAATTCTGTTGGACATCCATAATTTTATGAGGGTGCTTCCGAAGGACAAGCTAAAGGCTCACAAGAGTGAGCTGCCCATGAGGACGCTGAAGACCCTTCTGCACACCCTCTGCAAGCTCAAGGGCTCAAAGGTAAACAAGTAGGAGAGGCAGCATTTGATTTGGATAACTGTATTTTGGCAGTTTGAGGCCCCAAATAAAATTGCTACAATATAGCCAGAGTAAGTGTTTTTTTTTTTTTTGTTTTGTTTTTTTTACTTTGTAAAATGATAACTTTGGTAATCCCAGCCACAAACTGAACTGATCTTCTTTTTCAGATCATGGATCACCTAGGGATGATTGAGAACAAGAATGAATCTGAGTTAGAGGCTCACCTGCTGCGGGTTATGAAGCACTCTATGGATGGAACGGGCTCCAAAACTGACAAGGACACTGAGAAAGGAGCATCTCGTACGGTAAGTTTCCTTCATTTATTTCATAGGACTAGCAACAAAATGTCGCAGCTTTCTATTACAGCTGAGTATACGCAAAATGTAAACTTTTTTTAAAGATACTGAACAGAAAAATAACTTCTGTCAAATACCCGGTTTGCTTCTTTGTTTCAGCTGCTGACTACTTCTGCTGCACTGAAATCCTAAGCAGTGCTGTCAGCTCTGCCTGGTTCCTGCTGGGCTACAGAACATCTCACCCGCTTCTCCATGAAATGATGTATTCTGTAGTCCAGCGCAGGTTCTTTGGCTCAGGGCAGGGATAACACTGATTGAGACTTCGGTGCTGCATTCTAAAACTGCCTGTTTGTCCTGAAAACACTCAAACCTATTGGTATACTTTATCTTTAGCACTTGATGTCTGGTAATGCAGCCATTTCTAACCCCTCCAGACATCCCATGATTCTTTGTAATAAGTGTGGCAGGGGTCTGCTTTACTGAAGCATAAAGCACCTTCTGTCAGAGTGCAGTTCAGGAATTATCAACATATTCTCCTTGCCCTTTGGATGCACTGTCCTTGATTAAGTATTCTACATATGGTGACCTGTTGCCACAGGATTTTCTGATCCTTGTATTGGCAATAAACCCATTAACGTGGACTCTTTATCTGCAGAAAATACTATACATGTGAAAGGTTTGTCTTGCGTTAATTGGTGTGGGGTTTTTTTTCCCCCCTGAAGGAAAAGGGGTCGAAACCGAATGTCGGCGATTACTTGGCAGAGATCTTCAAGAAGATTGGATCAAAAGAGAATACAAAGGAGGTCAGTGTGCAAAGCTCAACATGAGATGGTCATGAATGTCAAATATATGCAGATTTGTACTCATCCATATGTATGTTCCATGCATAGTGCCTGAATATATGTGAGAAAAGGACTTCACATGAGTAGTTGGTCTCAAAGGCCCTGTTATCCCCAATCAGCATAAAAGGGTAAAATCTACCAGTCAGCTTATTTTGACCTGATTAACACCTGTTGACTGACAGGGAGCTCCAGAATGACCATCTGTTTAGTAGAATGGACCCTTTATGTTCAAACTGACATAGTATATGGTCTCATTGGTGTAGCATCAGTACCAAGCTTTACCAGGAGGTGGCAGTGCTACCCCAGACAACTAGTCTGTTATTTCTGTGAAGTTTTCATGTCTCTAGGGCAGGAATGTCCAAACTCTGGCCCTCCAGCTGTGGTGGAACTACGAATCCCATGAAGCATCTCTCTCTGGGAGTCATGTCTGTGGCTGTGAGAATCTTGCAATGCCTCATGGGATTCGTAGTTCCACCACAGCTGGAGGGCCACCGTTTGGACATCCTGCTCTAGGGCATGGTATAGGTAGTAAATCGCATTTACATTTGACTTGTTCTTTAATGTTGAGGATTTTTTTTTCTAGCTTTATACAAGTCACTTCAGCTCTAACAAGTGTCAAGAGCATACCCCAACATTTATATCCACACAGGTAGCATAGATACATTTTTAAATCGGTGGTGGTTCTCAACCTGTGTAACCTCAGGACCCACATTTGTCTTTGGTCAATGGAATGCACGGTATTGCAGGTACCACGTGTTCTGGTGCAGGTGATTAACTGTGGGCAGGAGGTGCATTTTTGGGGTGCCATTCAAATGAATGGCAATACACCAGAACACCCACACCAGTTTAGCCTGCAGGTTGAGCTGAGAAAATAGTGTATGGGTTCGGGTAGCCTTAGGACTGAAATTTGAGAGTTGTGTTTTGCTCTCATTAACTTAACATCCGAATCAGAAGCCAGGGTTGTAATCCTTTAACCCCACACAGCCCCTCCTAAATATTACAAAGGAGAGGCAATAAGAAATTCTAACACTTAAGACAAGAAACCCTAAGCCAAGTAAAAGCAATTTAAACTGCATTTTTTAAAATCTTTTTAGCTTATGCTATGTGGAGGGGAACATGTGATGTGATATAAAATGGGTGTTATCCCAATTTGGCTGTAACAGTGGAAACTCACTTTAATCCAATCGCCATGGAATGTCAAAGCAGATGTCTGTCCAGGATCAGGATGAGAGGAACTGGAGCGACCATCCCTAAAACGGGTCTGGGGACCTTTAGTATCATCGTTCTTCCACATTTTGTCATTTTTAGCATCTCTGTCCTGGTGATTTGACAATTCACATCTTCAGCTTTGTAAATATTTTGGCATTAGATTTCTGGAGGCCAAAGGATGGGGTTATGTAACTAGAACAGTATTGTTCCACAACTTTTACTCTCCTACCCTCTTTTTTGGCAATCCATATCTACACATTTAATGGTGATTGGGTTAAGGTGTCTGTGCTTCCTGAGGGGATATATACGCTGGTATGTCACTCATTAGAACGGAAGAATTGGCTTGGATAAGCGTCAAAATAACAATAACATTACAGAACCAAGTCCAGTTGAATGCAAATAACTACCAGCTAGATTGTACCATGCAAAACCATTGTGATGACCTGCTGCTCGCAGGCCATGTTCACTTTTATGGCCACAACAGGGGTGTTGATTTTTAAATAAACTACTTGTCCAAGGACTAAAGCGGGGGCCAATCTATTGCTCCAGATGCAAAAAAATAATTTTAATCCAAACCATATTTTAATTAAATTAGGTCTTTATTGATGGCAACAGACCTAAAAAAATACTTTAATACAATCAAAACCTCTTCTGGCAGCTGGTACTTGTCCACAACCCCCAGGGTTCTCCCGACCACAGGAGCCCAGCTCTACTTGCTGCACAGAGCAGGCAACGTGCTGCGGGGAAGGTAAATCTGCTGTTTGCCCAGCTAAAGGTTAAAAGAAAAAAAAAAAACACCTGCCCGGTGGCTGAAACTGCATGTCCCGGGCATCAAGCGATCCGATTTTAGCATCCCTGCACAAGTCTGACTACACCAAAAAGTAGTTTAATACACGGCATACAAGTGATTTAGGTAGTGCAAACTTTCCAGCCCTAGTCAAAGGTCTGTTTGGTGGTTGCATCTGTCTGGCCTTGGTGACCATGTTGGCCTTTAGGCAGCAGGATTTTGGAGGGGAGATTTCTTCTTCTTTCTAACTGTGGGCAGAGGCTGTGTTGCTATAAGTACCTTCATACAGCTAAAATCCCAAAGGTTTGATATGTAATCTTTGCCCAGTATACAATACTAAAGCACTCCAATGTATTGCTGTCATTTCACAATCATGAAGCTGATATGATTTTTAAAACGACTTTTCCTTGGTAGGGCCTGTCAGAGCTGTACGAGTACAAGAAGAAATACTCTGATGCCGACTTAGAACCTTTCCTCAAAAACTCCTCGCAGTTCTTCCAGAGTTATGTGGAGCGAGGCCTCAGGCTTATCGAGATGGAGAGAGAAGGGAAAGGCCGTATTGCATCATCTACAGGTGACCGTCCTGTCGCTGCTTCTTTCAGCTCTAAATCAAGGTCTGGGTCTGACAGTTTATTTTCGTGCCCCACAGGTATCTCTCCACATTTGACCGAGGCGAACCCTCTCCCATCAGTCACCAGTGTGACCCAACCGGCTGTAAACACTACTAATGGGGAAGAGTTGGGACCTTCTGTTTACTTGGAGAGGCTGAAAATCCTGCGCCTGAGATGTGGTCTTGATAATGCCAAGGTAATGTATAGCCATAGTATGTACGTGTCCCTAGAGGAAGAAAAGATGATTCTAGGCTTATCTTAATCGGATGCGAGATTGCAGCTTACCAGTCTTTGGATATGTAGCCTACATATGCCACAGCCTTCAGGTTTCCTTTTAACAGTGTGACCCACATGGATAATAAAGGACGGCATTTTTTTATTTTGTTAAAATCCAGCTCCCACCGGTGCTGTTCACCTTGCCAGATGCCTAGGCCTGGTTCACATGATCCAAGGGCAAGAATCAAAGTTTAGATTGTCTTGTCTGATTTGTAGAATTGTCTTGTTTCCTTGATAAATCCTTTCACCAAATCCCTTAGGCTTTTGGTTGTAAACCTCACTGAAGGGCACTTTCATTTCAGCATTTCTAGTACTCTCTTTATCTATCACTGCAAGATTGTTGAGCTCGAAGTAGAAACCAAGGCAAAAAAATATATAAAGTGCACACATTTACGGTTTTGTTTGCGGAAGGTTTTATTTTGGTCGGCCTTTCTTAAAGATGATCAGACCTTCTGCTAGTCGGTAAGATCACTGTATTGCTTCCTGGGTCATATAACTGGACAGATGTGATGCTGAATCACTGTCCAATGAGGAGGCAGATCATTTATTTAATGTCACTTTAAGTGAGGGGAAATGCAAATGTTTAGCATTGTCACCAGATTAAAGGGAAATCCTCAGTGAGGGCCAACGTTCTGGTGACGAGATGCAAATTCTCCTCCCTTTGGGGAGTTGTCCTCATTTCCTGTCGTCGTTTTTCTTCAGTACAGGAACTGAAGGGAAATATCATGGACAGCAAAAAATACCTTAATAGGGATAGACAGGAAACCTAACCTAATAGGTGGTTTGCTTTGGAGAGTTGTCTCATTTCCTTTCGTGTCTCCAGGACAGGAAGGGAGATATAGACAGCAAAAAAATAACCTAATAGGCTATCCTTAGGGGGGTTAACCCCTCCAGACTGTCCCTAAAAAAAATTAGAGATTTAAAGAGTTCTCACAATAGAGGGGATAAATAATGAGACCACATCCTTAATGAGTATAGAAAAATGGATCCAAAAGATCCAGTTGCAGACTTTTTAGGTGTCAAAAGTGAAAATACACTGTGTGTGTATTGTCTAAAAACAATGTATTGAAGATTCATCATCTGTCGGGCTGAACAAGTCCCACTTTCTGCAACTGGAGGTTTTGGATCCATTTTTCTATAGTCTCTCCAAAATTATATAAAAAAAGAAATAAAAGGTTTTGGCTTTATATACGCTATGAAATACGGTATGAGAAGGTGGTTTGGGGATTGCCAAGCTGCTGATCCTAGTTTTGTCATCACCTCTTTTTCTTTCTCTTCTAGCAGGATGAAAGGCCTCCACTCAGCAACTTGCTGGCGAAGTCCTCTGCCACAGGAGTCCTGTCCTCCAACGACATGCTGCACAGCAAGCTTTCTCAGCTTCGGGAATCTCGAGAGCAGTTCCAGCACTTAGACGCAGACTCCAACCAGACGAATGAAAGCACCACCACCTCATCCAGTACGTCCTCGGCCTCCTCTGCAAACAACATAGATGACTTAAAAAAGAGACTGGAGAGAATTAAAAGCAGTCGAAAGTAGTAACTCCTCAGCCCCGTGCTGCTGTTTGGTTTTTTTTTTTGTTCTTCTGCCCTTTTAGGAGCCTGGTCTCTCCGGCTCAGCAGCTCCTTCTAGGCCTATTGTAAACTATCATTTTATGTATCATATGTGTATTTTCTTTGGACCTGGGGAGGGAGAGCAACCTAGCTCTTATCTTTGTAGCTCTGTGGCTGTTTTGACTTGCTTTTAATTTAACATAAAGCAGTGGATTGCTGATTCTGTATGGAATCGTAAGGCATGGCATGATGTTTTTGTAAATAAAGTTTAAAATAAACTACTAAAATGTAAGCAATTTAAAGACCACCCCACGCACTTTTTTTTTTTTTTTTTTTTTTTTTTTTTTTTTTTTTTTGTTTTTTATTTTTTCATAAAAAAAAATTTTTTTTTTTTTTTTTTTTTTGTGATCTTGAACCTTCAACTAAAAATCATATTGTCCTGCAGAGCTCAGCACTTGCCTTGATTGCTGTCTCTCTCCAAGGTTGTTGTTGCTCTGCTTTCCCTTTGTGAAAATGTCCCCTTCTCACATTCAGGTTGCTCCTTCCCTTTAGAGTCCTGTTGAGCCACCTTTGCGTGTTTGCTCGCTCCCTGCTGGCACCAAATATACATCGCCCTACCCTTGTGTGCATAGAAAACACGGCCTGGAAGCCTATGTCAGAAAGCCATGCCCCCTGCTCCTCCCTCTTCCTGCAAGTGATTGACAGAGGCTGTAGTCCACACTGTCCCAATTATAATGTGCATGTGATTATATATAGGGTGCACACTCCCCTACTTAGACATTTGGGGAAATGACTGGTTGGACCTGGAGCCTCAGGCAGTAAAATGTGAGAGATGTAGGTGTATTCTCAATGTACTTGAGAATGTACTGAAAAAAAAAGTACTTTCTGTGGTGTACATATTCCTAGGATGCATTGGAAAAGAAATGTGCAGAGCGTTTAATACTAAACTGTCAAAATTTAGGCTGTACCTCCTTGGAGGCTTTATGGAAAAGAGCTTGAGCTCCACCTCCTTTAGTGATTCTGGTGCTTAATGTAAACCTCTCAGTGAAAGGGGTTGCCGTTGCTGACATTTTTTGAACATGCTAGTTGCCAGACTGCCATGCTGCCCTTTCATTTTTACCTGTTGATCTGGCAGTAACACTTGTCCCTGCTGATGTGTATTCACTGCACTGTATCTATGGAGCGGCACTGTTGTCCTAGAACAAAGTGCAAGATTAGAGTTCTTCTCCCATCTCCATAATAGACTTGGTGACCCTACGTTCAGGAGTTAAATCTCAAATACATTCAAGAACCTTAACTATAAGGCCCCATTCACACCTAGGCGTATTGTAATATGCACATCTGTCGCACGTTTTTTTTTACCACGGTTCGCAGTAAAAAAGTTGCGCGATTCCAAAGGCTACTTGGCAGTATCCAAATGGAAAACGGCCCAAAGTAGTCCCGGGAACTTAGGGCTTTAGGGACGGGCGGAAATACGGCGAGGTGGGAACGAGGGCATTGACTACAATGCAATTTATATTTTTGACCGTTTTGTAGAGCGTTCGTCGAGCGTAGAACGCCCTACAAAACGGTCAGGTGTGAACGCAGCCTTAAGAACAATGTATCTTGTGTGTATCACTCGGCTGTAGATCCTCAAATCATCTCTGAATTGGTGCTGACACTGTCCTTCCTTCTGGAGGGGGGCTACTTTTGTTCCCCATGGTCCCTGTGTGTGTTGTAAAGTAGTTACCTCACCAAGCTCACTCCCGTGATGGACTACAATCTCATGCTTACGAATTTGTATTGAGATTGTAGTCATGAATTTTAAAAACCTGAGTCAGCTGCCCTTTTTTATAAACTTTTGAAAGATTGTTTCTAGTTCATAACTTTCTTAAACACACATATGTAAGGGACTCATTCATACCTTGGCATCCTGGTACATTCTGTTAAGGCAGCCCATTCAAATATTCAGCTGGCAATGCACCAGAACATCCAAAAAACATGCACCGTTTTTTGTTTTTTCTCCATTGGAAATGACCACAATGCGTTGTAGTGCATACTGCATGATGTGGTGTGTGCTTTAGGAGTTGTTTCCTTAGCACACTGGAGTGCTGGTCAAAATGCATGGCACCATAACACACATAGGGGTAAATGTTTATGTGGCACTGTAGGAATTTCCTATACCCCTCAGTGCCATCCAGGGGCACAAGGGCTGTGTGGAAGTTCTAGAAATAAAATGTGTGGTCAATAACCTGTGTTCTTGCACTACACTGGAGAGGTGTCAGCTTCAGTAGGTTTTAGAAGATTTTAGGATAGAACACATTATAATGGAGTTGTACACTGAGTGAAAATTGGGCTACATCACACGATCGCCAATGGCTCATGCTAGCATTTTGTTTTGTGTGAGATAGAGATCTGATCCTAGAGGTGGAACTAGTTGAAAACAGCACTCGAGTGTGCCTAGAGCAAAATTTAGAGTTTAGGGATGCACGATATATCGGCCGAAAATTGCACTTTTGGCATAATGCCGACAGAGCCATGTTTCGGCCGATACATCGGCGCATCCCTGGTTTCTTTTCTCCCCGCTGGCCGCTGTTCCAGCAGGGAGAAACGAAAGTGACAGCTGGCCGAGCACTGCAGGACGAGAGCGCTGTGAGCGGCCCACACCGCTCAGCCGCCTATCACAGTCCGGCAGAGCGGTGTGGGGGCGGAGACATCACTGTCACAGGAGGCTGGGCTTTCCTCTCTACACCGCTCGCTCAGCCTCCTGTGACAGCGTGTCAGAAGCAAGATACACACACTCAGTGATCAGTGATCGCTGAGTGTTTGTACATAATTGAGGATATGGCATGTTATCTATATCCTCAATTATGAATGAATGGGAGTGATCTACATCACATCTACATCACCCGCATTCATTCATAATTGTAGTTATAGTAAATGTTATCAATGAACAGGAACACTCATAGAGAATTTCTGTTCATTGATAAAAGGGGACACAGAAAAAGAGATTGAGGACTCTGTGTTCTCAATCTCTTTTTCTAATTTAAAAGGGAAATATCAGCGGTCTGTTTAGATCCTGTCAAAGGATCTCCAAATGGATGATACAGCTGTGGGTAGAGCATGCCAGATTTTAGAATACAGCAGCAGGCTGCAGGAAGAACAACCCTGTGATTCAGGCAAGTTGGGTGTGCTGATGTGATCATGTTTCAAGTTACACCCTGAATGTGAGTGAAACATGGTCCAAAAGGTGAACTATCCTTTTATGATGCAGGTGCGAGTGTCAGCCACAGCCCTGAAACCGCCATAATTCCCCCTCATAAGATTGCTGAGGCTGTACATCCGTGAGGAGGTGATTACATCACTTTATTGACATGCACAAATATACTATTGGGGGATGTTGAGCTGCAATGCGCTGAGAAGACACAGGATGGTGCATTGTAGATCAGTGCTCTTCCTTGCACAGTTCAGTAACGGATGCCGGGAGATTTGACTTTCTTACAGTAGGCATATTAACTGGCATTTTGTTCTACGGTCTTCATAATCCATTTCCGCAAACGGTGCACATGTGCGTAGAAGCCGTACTTGTTATCGCGGTCACAGCCTTCACCCCAGGACACTATTCCCATTTGGTACCAGCGATTGCTGACCGGGTCCTGAAACGCACAATAAGATGGTTCCAAATCGGCATAAAATGATGCAGCGAAAACATTTAGTCATTTTGTAAACATGTAAATTGGGTCTCCTGCTTACACCATGTTTGTAGAAGGCCAACTCCACCCAACCAGTGTTTTCAACGAGTTAAAAAAATGAATTTGGCTTCTATCTGCACCATAGGTCGCCATCACTTCCGCTCGGCGTGCACTTTATAAAGGGCCTTGCAATTTCAGAATACAAAAATAACTGGCCGTGTTACACATTCTTATAAATTTAGTAAACTATTAAGCTAGCACACCAAAACCAATTCTCATTAGGGATGCACTGATACTAGTACCCATACCGAGTATTTTGGTGAGTACTTATACCCGCCCAAATGCTCTGATACCGGAACTTCCAGGCAGAGGAAGATTTCCTCTGACAGGCAGTCCCCTAGGGGAACATGGAGCAGCTTCCCCTTCCCGTGCGATCAGGAAGCTGGGTGGTGAGTGAAGACCCAGCTCCTGGCTTCCTGATTAGCTGGGAAGCTGGCTCCATGCTGATTGGCTGGAAATATTTGCAAATACAAAGGTATAAAGGGCAATGGAAGCCGTAAGTAACGTTTTCATCAATACAGTAACTTCCAACATGCATGCCAGGGTACAGCGGTCACAAAGTGACAAATGAGGTCCAAGGAACATCCAACAGTGTGAGGTACTGAGATCCTGTTTTCATTGGCGACCTGCTGTATATGGGGACTCCCCACCTTTTCATTGGCCACCAATACTTCCTGTGTGCCAGAAGCCCTGACTTGAGCCAACTGTAGGGTAAGGCTGCCTGAGCTCAAAGCTGCCAACCCTTACATGGTGGAAAGGTACTGGACCACCTTGTGCGCAGGGAAAGAAATGTAGCACAAAGTATATACATGGAAGTTCATAAGCTGGAATTCAGATTGGCATTTTCTGCATCCCATTCCAGCATTTAAGCACCCACATGTTCTTATATGTCTGCATTTGCGCTATATATCTTGTGTAAGAAGTGTGCGAGATACCACTCTTAATTGTGACCTATTGTCATAGCTCAACCTCCAGGGTTTTCTTGCTGTCTGTCTCTCCATTGGGGGAAATGTCCACGCAAGGTGACATTAGGACAAATGAGTGGAAAGGTGTCTTCAGGATGAATGTATGGACAACAATCTAATGTATTCTAAAGCAGGGGGCCTTCATTGGTTTAAACAATGAGCCACTTTACTGTTTGTCAGACTGGAGCTGGACTGTGGCTAGTAAGAGTAGAAAAAAAAAAATGCCCAGGCATCAGGAGTGGACTCAGCACAGAAATTGTGGAGCACTTTGTAGGTACAAGGACTGTGTATATAGTATGTAGGCTCAGACTCTTCACCAATATTCAGCATGATCTTCCGCACGCCACGTCTTCCTCTCAAAGCGTCCCTCATTATCAAGTTCCAAAGTTGAGACATCTGCACTTAATGTAACTGTGCTGCTGGCAAGCCTTACCTTCATGGTAAAGGGACCACCGCTGTCTCCTTCACATGCGTCTCCTCTTTTGTTATCGTCTGGTTTGTAACCTGAAAACAATATATACCAGAAATGAATAGGTCTTGTTGATGTCAAATATTCTGTATTCTTGCCCGATATAAATCTATAAATCAGCAAAGAATAGACTCTGACCACAGTACTGGCAGGAGGGAGCTCAGTATTGGCGCGTTGATTTCAAAAGACATGCAGCACTTCAAAATAGAAGCCACAGATCCAGTCCTCACTGTAAAGGTTGCGCTGACCTCAGCGCTCATCCAGCCCTATTTCAGGCTACAAAGTACAGCTTTTGGTGAATCTGCTACTTGTTATTGTGGATCAAGCCCTGAAGAAAGATTCTAATTCTGCAGAAAGTGTTGGCTGTATCTGAACTATCCATTCAAAAAGCAGCCTTGATGAACCTTCAAGTGAGGTGACCATTTCAGGATTGGATTTTCTGTGATCCCCCATTGTGATCGGAGAGGCAGCAGCCTTGCTCCATAATCAGGACCATACACTACACACACCCTGTCATTACAGGTTACCTCACTCAAACAGTTTATCTGCCAGTTTGTTAGATTCACATTAAAACATGTTCCTGCTCCTACTGGTCCAACGCTACCACATAACTATAAGAAGGTCTTTCTTTGTATGCTTTCATTTTCTTGCAGTTGAGTCATATCTGTATTACTGTATTTGTAGCTCAGTGTTGGTATTGGTCCTGTTTTTGCTCTGATCATTGGTAGAGATCATCTATGGAGTCAGCTGAGGCTTTTGTGATACAAATTTCTCCACTGTTTCTTTCATGACAGATTCACTTTAAGCTTCGTCTATACACGGACGTGATGTTTCTAATATTTTATTTTCAATGTGGTTCATTATTTTAAAAAAATCTGGATGTATTCTAAATGCACAAAATGTAATTGGATATTAACTAGGGATGCACCGATAGCGGTATTTAGGTATCGAGTACCGATATATTTTTTTCTGATACCGAATATGGAGTACTGGAAGTCCCATTCAGGAAGCCAGGCGGCGTGTAATGACTCGCCACCTTGCTTCCTGATTAGCCGGGAAGCCAGGCGGCGTGTAATGACTCGCCACCTTGCTTCCTGATTAGCCGGGAAGCTGGGCGGCGTGTAAAGACTCGCCCACCCGGGTTCCCGATTAGCAGGGAAGCCGTCCCCATGCTTCTCGTCACCTAGTTTCTTGTAATGACTCGCTGCCCAGCTTCCTCATTGGTCAGGAAGCTGGCCAATCGGGAAGCTGGGCGCCGTGTAATGACGCGGCGCCCAGCTTCCTGATTGGCCGGGAAGCCGGCTCCATGCTCCCTCGTCAAGAGGTGACGAGGGAGCATGAAGCCGGCTTCTCGGCCAATCAGAAAGCCTGGCGCCGTGTCATTACACGGTGCCAGCTTCCTGACCAATAAGGAAGCCGGGCAGCGAGTCATTACACGCTGCCCGGCTTCCTGATTGCCCAGGAAACAAGTGAGGGAGCATGGAGTTGGCTTCCCGGCCAATCAGGAAGCCGGGCAGCATGTTATGACGTGCTGCCCGGCTTCCTGATACCGGAAGTATCGGGCTAGGCATCAGAGCATTTGGGCGAGTACGAGTACTCGCTCAAATACTCGGCATCAGCACCGATACTAGTATCGGTATCGGTGCATCCCTAATATTAACATTTGCAAGTAATAACACCAGAAAATGTTGATCCAGGGAATATCCGATTTCCTTCCTGATCCCCTAAGGCATTTGTTTCACCTGTTGGAGCCAATTGGAGCATGCTGGGGTTTTGTGCCTTCCTCTGGATCATCTGTGGACATAGGGTCCGTGTTTAAGGAGGTTTTTTATGTTTTTTTCTGTTGGTTGAACTCGATGGACTTTTTTCAGCCTAACTATGTTACTATGGTTTGTTCTTGTTGCTAATGTCCTTCCTGTCTGGTCAAACACCTCTTTGTGTATAATTAAGCTAAAATTTAGGTTGGCTTTTATATATACTTATCTATCCAGTCTACTTTTTTTTTTTTCTGTTTTGGATAGAGTAATGAAGGTGGCGTAACAATCGCCATAGCGACCCAGGCGGCCGCTATGGGGCCCGGGCACAGGGGGGCCCGGCCAGGGCATCCCTTTGATGCCGTGTGGGCCGCCTGGCATATCGGGGTGCTGGCTGTCACTGACACAGCTCCGCAGCGGCTCACAGCAGCTGCGGAGCTGTGTCAGTGACAGCCAGCAACTGCGGCAGAAGAGGCCGCAGTTTGCAGTGAAGGAGGAGGCGGGGCCTGCCTAAGAGCAACCCCGCCTCCTCTTACAACACTGGCCAGCGGCCTAAGAGCAAGTGGGGCCAGTGATGTAAGAGGAGGCGGGGCAGGTCGACCATGGAGGCGGACAGCGCTGACAGGTAAGAGGTGTGCAGCCCATCTGAGACCCTGCAGAGCCCACTATAGAGAGTCTATGGTGGGCTCTGCAAGTGGCATAACTAGCAATCACGGGGCCCCATACAAAATGTTGCTATGGGGCCCTGTGATTTCTAGTTATGCCCCTGGTTAGAACCTCTCTCAGTTTTTATCAGCTGTCTCTGGCCCTAATTGACAAAGTTCCCCTCATTTTCCTGTCTCTGACAAATCTCCAAGAGGTAGTAGAAAAGTCACAATTCCTTTGTCAATAAAGAACATTGCCAGAAATTCTCATTGGAGTGCGAGTGACTTTTCTACTACGGGATACTGCTCTGCAGAGGCATCTGCTGTCATCTCAGCACCCACCTATTATCTTGGGTTACATCCGGTCAGGAGTGTGATGGGATCTACCTAAATCTCCAAGAAGGACACAGACAGCAAAAAACAAAACCCCGAAACCTAATAGAGGTTGTAACTGCTCCTCATGCTATTCAAAACTAAAAGAGAAATGTTTTCCTGGCATTGTACTTCAATTACATAAGCCATTGAAGCTCAATACATTGTTATGTAGATCTAGATTCCCGTTGAAAGATGTCTTACCTGCACAGAACATATTATCTGTGACTTTAATCTTGGTGGAGGCTTTGCACGTCTCCTGCTCCACAATGGGAAGGTTGATCTGCTGTAGGAGGGTTGGGAGTTTAGGACCGCCGGAGCTCCACGTTTCCTGAAGATTCCCCCAACCTGTCACTCGACCTTTGTATCCTGACTGAAAAAGTCTGTGGAGAGACCATGGCGTACACAATTTTTATAAGAGGATTATTTTCTTACACATTGAATCATAGTCGCTTAATTTCTGTTGATCTGCAAAAATAGTTTTTTTTCCATGTAAAAGTGAAAACCGATCTCTGCAAAAGATTTAAAAGAATTAAAATGGAAAAAAAAATAGCTGACTGCATAAGTATACACCCCCTTAAAGGAGAACTATGGGGTTAAATATTTTCCCCATAGTTCTCCTTAGGGTAACGGGAGGACACAAACTAGCATCCTCCCGTCACCCTAACCTCAGTATACCGTGAGCTACAGCTCGCGGTATACTGAGACGCCGCAGCTGAAGCGGATCCCGACGATTGTGCCGGGATCCGCCCAGCTGCGTGAGTGACAGCTGGCTCTGCCTATCTAGAGGCAGAGCCAGCTGTACCCGCCCCCTCCCCCGTCCGTTCCGCCAGTCAGTGCTGGCGGATCGGAGCAGGGAGGGGGGAATCCAGCCCCTTATCCAGTTGAATTCAGAGTTTCCGATATGCCTTCTGGCAAACTCTAAGGCCGAATATTATGTGAGCTTTATTTAACAGTGGCTTTCTATTGCCACTCTTGCACTAGGCTGTGACTGGTAAGCCCCAAGGCTAACAGTTGTGGGGGTAGATACAGTAGACACTAGCCAATGGAGAGGGGAGTATACCAACTCTTCTATTACAGTAACCTTCCCTTAGGAATTTTTTTCTACCTTGACAGGGTCACTTAAAGGAGAACTATGAGGTGAATGATTTTCACTTAACCTCGTAGTTCAAGCCGACGTGTGACAATGAAACTGTCCCACGTCGGCTCAATAGATCGGGAAGTGAACGAACACAAACAGTAGCTCGCTCACTTCTCGATCATGTCCCTGCAGGGATCCCCCCCCCCCTCCCCTGTCCGATCCTCCACTGCTGACTGGTGGAACGGACGGGGCAGGGGCCGGGTACAGCTGGCTCTGCCTCTAGATAAGCAGAGCCAGCTGTCAATCACGCAGCTGGATGGATCGCGACAGTAATGTAGGGATTTGTCCCGGCTGCGGCGGTCTCAGTATACCGCGAGCTACAGCTTTGGGTGACGGGAGGACGCTAGTTTATGTCCTCCCGTGACCCTTAGGAGACCTATGTGGAAAAACACTGACCCCATAGTTCTCCTTTAAGTAAGAGTCAAAACATGGGGAATTCAGAGGGACCTCCAATCATGTATGTTATGTAAACTTAAGTGGCTTGGATAAACTGCGAAGGCTTTTCAGAATAACAGAACAAGCCCAACTACTACTAGCTAAACCTGGAAATCTTCAAATATGCTCTTAAATCTTTGTGTGCCTCAGTGTACAAATCTGTGGACGGAGCCTTTAACACATGGCCACTGCATTCACATCAGCAGAATCGCAATGGGTAAGAAAAGTGAGACCAGACAGATGTTTTGCAAGCCATGGTTGTGGCATCTGCCTATGTAGGGTTGGGCACATGAGTGAAAGTGAACAGTTGATGGAAGGGCGGTCCTTACGCTTGTACAATATCCTTGGTGGGCAGACACACAGGGTGGATGTAGTTGGTGAAGATCAGAGGTCTTTTCAACTGCATGAGTGCGATGTCTCGGTCAAGATTTTCCTTCCAGTTGTATTTTTGGTGAACGATAATGCGCTGAAGCTGTAGAATTCTTTCGTCTGGCTTTTCATACCTAGAATGACAGCAATGTATAAGAATGTTATCCTCATTTCCATATCCAAGTAAATGCTGTGGACCAGTTAACTGAACACTCCAGACCAAATTTCCCTTTGTTTGGTCTGAAGTTCTTCATGGGTGTTCCAAAGCCTGATTACTAATGCAAGTTAAAGTCTAAGTAAAGGCAAACCATTTTAGTTTTGATGAGGGGTTAGAAACCCTGTCGTGTTTTAATTATTGTCTGTGATCCTGCTAAGGAATCATTTTATTTGTCCTGGACTGGTGACCATTGTCACCAGGAGTAATGATGAGGGAAAATCCAAAATTTTGAGTTGTCACCAGCACAGGAATAAAATGGTAAGTCTCCCAACGAGGACAACTGTCTAATAAAGGGTTTTCCTGACTTTTAAGAGATTTCCTCTGACTTGTGCCTGTGTAATTCCTGTGTAATGTATTACTGGGATTTGTAGTCCTCTATAGTTGGCAGTATTCTGCATTGCTGTATAATGTATTTCTAAGATTTCTAGTCTCTCTACAGCTTGGAATCAGTGGCAGATCTACCAGGGACACAGCTTCAACTGGGCCCTGGCGCTCCACCACTAACTCCAAGCTGTAGGGAGACTACAAATCACAGCCTGGACAAGAGGAAGAGGGCCCCAGTGACCGTAGCCATTTTCATAAAAAGGCCCACCAAAATCCTCAGCACCAGGCCAGTGATGTTCTTAATCCAGCCCTGCCTACAGGGCAGGAAGTGAAGGGAAAATGTCCCCAATGGGACACATGGCAAAAAAAACCGTATGGGGTTTTAACAATTTCCTACTCTGAAATGGGACAAAAACTTTTGACTTTTAATGGTATATTTACCAGACAACAAGGGAACAAAAAAAAAAGAATATCAACTTTAGGATTTACGTACACATTAAGAAATAAGCATTTTAAAGAGACCAAATTATTTTATCAACAAGCCCTAAAGATACAAAGCATCTTGAGCTGTGTGCCCTAATGCAGCCCAAACGGGGTTGACAAATTGGAGAATTGTCTTACTTTTGCCGATTGTGCTTTCCAATGCGCACCAGCAGATCATCCACCGTGAAGTTCTTATCCCATGGAGGGTAGAAGATGCAGTGAGCTGCCGTGAGTATCCACTGATCACTTATAAGACTGGCTCCGCAGAGCAGCTCCTGTGGCTGTTTTTTAAAGATCATCACCTGCCTTGGTACAGAAATGAACAGGATCAGACAACATGGCATTCATTAAAAGTCAGAACATTCATGGGTATGGTCTACACTGACCAATGTGATTCCTGCCTTTGAAGTCAAATCTTATTACTGAATCTTTGTGTCTTAATGATAGATTAAGATACAGTCCGTGTACCCATCGCACTCAGAACTGCTGCTCCGTGAGATAAGAAGTGGGTGCAGCAGGTGTCAAAGTATAAGTAAAGGATGGACACCGGCACTACAAAGCAAATCCACTATGTCTATTTATTCACGTACTTGTAGCAACTTCAAAACACAAGATACAACGTTTCGGGGTCTCACAGGATCCCCCTTCATCAGTGCCAAAAAGCATACTCCATCTCATGGAAAAATGAGTGTGTGCCAAGTTGTGTACAGGGGTCTAACTTCCATAAATAATGAAAAGAACAAACTGGGGGAGAGGTGGTGATGAGCAAGAGAGGTGATGTTAAAATCCCCGGCTGTGGCACACTGGCCACCCCAAGGGAATTCTATGTAAAAAAAACTAAGGAGATAAGCATGTGGTTTAAGTCAATTTACCGGTCGGGGAGGAAGCATCTAAGAGGAAGACTCAAAATTGAGTCCCCTTGGCATCACGGTATCCAATGTATGGATCCAAAATGCTTCTCGTTGGAGAAGGAACCTATCATCATGGTTTCCACCACGGTGGGATAGTGTGACATGTTCGATCACCATCCACCGTTATTCTGCCTCTTTCTTCTTTGAACCCAGGGTGACTTGATGACGTACTCCCATGAGGCATGTCCTTGACACCCTGAGTATACAGGAAGTGAGTAAAATGATGCTGGGTGTTATTCAACCTGGAAGAGGACTGGTACTGGATCACAAAGTGTTGAGTCTACCGGGGATTGTGCCAGAAACAGGGTGGGTACTGCAGCCAGAGCTGCTTTTTTATTTTTTAAAGTTATGGGCAATGGAATTTTAACATTTTTATTCTAAACTGAGGTAGGGATTTAAGCATTAAAAAAAAATGATTTGGGCTTTAAGCCACACCTCTTTACATTGCAAAAACTGCATTCCCCTTAAAGTACCAAGCTCCCAGCAGTCAAGGCTTCTTTCCTCAACCACTATTCTAGTGAAATCGCGTGTCATGCTCTTACCAAGGTGCGCTGCCCCGTTCGGCGTCCTCTCCCTTCACAATACGACCCTGCATGGACGCTATCAACTCGTCCTCTCCCTTGTCTCTCACTTTCTTGGGTTCAAAGAGAGGCCGCTGTCCACACACTGCAGAGGAGGACCAAAAGGACACCATTATAAGCAATGACAGCAGTGGAATTGTCTATTCTGTGGTATCAACTAAGATAATGTGGAAAGCACACACAGGTAAAGAAGTTTTTGACAGAAGAGACTTTTAGGGGCTGATTTATAAATCTTCTGCCCAACTATGCTCCTCGGCTCCATTTGGTGGCGGGAACGCCATGGGAACAACATTCGCTTAGCATATGGACAATCAGCTGCAGTCACTCTTTGGGTACAGGTATCAGCTGTCAAAATACAATAGCCAACAGGGGAGATTCGTCCATCCACACTATCTAGTAATCAAGTGACTTCTCTTGTTCAACCTTGTATGGCCAGCTCAACCCTCCAGCTCCTTCAGCTCAGCAGGGTGTAGAGGATATATGAACAGTAGTGGATTGAGGTGTTATTGCAGAAGTCTACGTCTTTGAAGGTTCTCATTCGTCCAGGTCATGGTATATCAGTAAAAAAAATAAATCAAGGCAACTGGACTTGCTGTACTTTTCTTGAAGACGTTTTGCTGGTCATTCAACCAGCTTTCTCTATTCAGTAAATTCTAAATTGAAAAAGCTAGTTGGATGATTAGCGAAACGTATCAAGAAAAATACAGCAAGTTCAGTTGCTTTGATTTATTTTTTACAGATATGCAGTAGTCTATGTTACCTACAATGAAACACAGCTACAAACTGGAGGAGGGGATAGCGTATGGCCCATAGCAGCCAATTACATTGTATTAGTTATTTCTCCAGTGTAAGTTAGAAAATGAAAGCTAACATCTGATTGGTTGATATAAACTTCATTTGTCTTTTATTATTTTACATCACTACTTTCCTTACCTGCCTCTCCCTTGCCAAAACTCTTCTCATCAAAGAAAGTCTGGTGTTGTACCGTGTCTGTGCGTCCCCCTATGACAGAGGTTGTTTCTTCATCTACAGGACTGTCTGCCAGAGACGGGACCGACCCAGTGACAAGACAAGATGATCAATGAATAAAGAGAAGAAAAAGGTGACGCATGAGAAAATGTAATACTTTTTAGTGGTTAATATATTTTGCTTCTAGTGCAGTGGTGGTGAACCTATGGCATGCGGGGGCGCTCTATGTTGGCACCCAAGCCTTGGTTCAGATTAACATATGGGCGCTCCTGAAGATATGCCTGACTGTCCTGGATCGCCTCGGTATGCGATCCGAGCTGGCCATAATCAGGCAGCGGCGGCCCTCAAACTCGGCATATTAGAGGCCGCTCACTGGGGCCTCTGAGGGCACTTATAGACCACCTGAGAGCCCACACAGCCCACCTGAGAGCCCACACAGCCCACCTGAGAGCCCACACAGCCCATCTGAGAGCCCACACAGCCCATCTGAGAGCCCACACAGCACCCCAAAGAGCCCGTACAGCTCACCTGAGATTCGCAAAGCCCCCTGAGACCCGGCACAGTGCCCCTGAGAGCCTGTGCAGACTGCAATTGCAGGGTTGGCACTTTGACATACATAAGTTGGTTAAGTGATCTAGTTTGCGGACTCGAGCTCAAAATAT